ATTACTTTACATGCTGTAAACAGTTTAGTTTTAAGTAGTAGACTGTTACAAAAATATGCTTCTACATACAGTCTTGCCTAAATTAAAAAGTATATTTATAGAAACACGAAAAATTATTGATCAAAGTGCAGGGTTTAAGTGTCACACAAGGATGCATTTGACAGACATACATCGACTGGATTGGAGCTCATTACTGTATGCAGCAATAACAGTCTGCAATGAATTAACTTGCGGTCCCTGGCTAACCTCGTATTCTCTCGAAATTAGCATTTCATGTGCAAGCTCTAAGTACACATATCTATTGGCTGTATACAATATCTAAAATTTTTGATCAACTTGTAAAGATTTCAGGATTAATTAAAGACCTTCCGGAACGATTAATTCTTAACCTAGAGTCTACAGTGACCAATTGCATCTGCCCTAGATAATATCAAGTGTGGAGGCGCGGTGGCCTCATGGTTGGTGCGCTCGACTCTGGAACGAGTGGTCCGGGTTAGAGCTCCAGCCGGGACATTGTGATGTGTTCTTAGGCAAGACACTTTACTCTCACAGTGCCTCTCTTCATCCAGGTGTTTAAATGGGTACCGGCGATTTAATGCTGGGGGTAACCCTGCGATGGACTGGCATCCCATCCAGGAGGGAGTAGAAATACTCCTAGTCGCCTCGCGCTACAGAAACCGGAGTTAAGCACTGGCCTAATGGGCCACTAGGCTCGCAAACAGACTTTACTTTTTACCTAGATAATGCCAAAGTCAGCAATTCTGAAAATCTCCCGAAATGTTGCTCGATCGCATGCTTTTTGCAAAAGAAATTGAGAAAGTGTCGAGCCAGAAGTTAAACTTAAATTTACTAGATGAAGAGAAGAGGGATCAAGAAAAACAATCCTTGTTGTACTATAGTTCTTATGATAAGTTCTTCCTTAAATAATTAAAAAAGGAATGAACTATTAATTTACACTTCCAAGTTTGCACCACTCATTCTCAAAAGCTCGCTATTTGCAGTAATTGGGAAAATTTACTTCCATAGAGTGTGAACAAATACACCCTTAAGTTATCCTCCTGAATGGACGTGGTAGAGTTTACAATTAACAATGCGAGCTCTATCAACTTTGCAACGGAATGAGCGAAAAGTTAATAAACTTTCTTGGTTCGCTTGCTTCATTTCTTTGTACATGAAACGTTGGTTTGGAAAAATAGTTTGTTCGCCTAAAAATTAAAAGTACGGAAACTGAAAGGAAAGTTGAGACAAGGAAAGAAAAAGAATGCAATACAGTTCGCAATTAACAGGAAGGTTGTTGCATACTACTCGTATTGTTGTCCTATTCAGTGTGACACTTTCATCCTCTTTTTTTTCCTTTACTCAGGCTAAATATTGGGTACTGGCCATCGAAATCTAACATGAGCAAAATTCTATCGAAGTTTCCTTGTGGAAAAAATGTTCCTGTATTATAGTATTGTTTCAGTATTTTTACTCTTCCCATTCAGATCGAGCATATTATTAAAAAATGAGCGTTCTTTGGGTTTTGAGTATTCAAGACTGCCTTCAGGAGACAAACCGTTCGCGGCACCTTCAAATTCTTCTTTTAGCTTTTGCAGATCAGACGTTATGTCTTTTAGTCGTTCCTCCAAATCCAGGAAGTTTTGCATCATGGACATCTTCCTGCTGCTGGGAATCAGTCCTGGAAAAACGATTGTAAAGAACAATTGCAGAGAATATTTAAAGAAATGGACCACCAAATAATCCCTGGACATATAGTTCTAGTCAGTCGTTTGTCTGTAAGCGAATATTCAATAGTTCATGGGGTCACCAATCGTTTAAATGACTTAATATTTGACTGACCAGCCAACCGTCGAATGAGCATTGATCTGTTTCGCGTAAAGAAGGTTTTCCACATTTATGATTAAAATCTGAGTGACGTGCTGACTGACTAATTGACTGGCTAATTGGATGACTGACTGGCTGATTGGATGACCGACCACCGACCGACTGACTTACTGAATGACTGACTGACTGACTGACTGACAGACTAACTGGCTGAATGACTGACTGATGGACGGACTGACTGACTGAGTGACCTCCTGACCAAGAGTCTAACTGACTGACAGACTGAAGGCGAGTTACTATTTCACTGCCTTTCATAATTACTGTCTTTTGAATTGAAAATTAAAGACTCGCACCAATACCATGATTTATACTAACTGAGATAGGAAAATGTCTTCAAAAGATATCCGTTTTATTTATAATCTGCAGGAATCTATGGTGATTTGATTTATAAGGCAGTTACCTTTTCTCTTCTTTCGCACTGTTGGCTTACAATTGGTGTAAACTTCCCATAGTTTACCCATGATTATTAATACAGCAAACATTCCCAATAGCGCAAACAAAATGTCCTTGGTCATTTGTGAGCCAGTGGAGAATAATCCTTCCATTTCATCGGACAAGTCCGCTGTCTGCAAGAAATAAATAAATTTCAAACTGTTGACTGCATCGGAATAACTGCTAAACATGAATAGAAAATGGGGCGTAGTAAAATATGTGTAATCCAAAAAATATCTACAGTACCTGCAATTCGGCTGGTATAAGATTCTCTTTGGCCGTGTCTTTTGCCACTGCAACCAAATCCGATGATAGTGCTTTCAGACTTCCTCCACAAGTTGAAAGGTTTTTTTTTCTTTGCAATACGTCGTCTGCGGATTCGTCCGTGTCATTCGGTGACCCCGATGGAGGTGGCATTACTTCATGGCTCACATGAGCCAGGTAGTACTCCATTGGATAATCAATGTTTCGAATCATTCGGATTTGCCTGTTTCGTTTCAAACCAGATTTATCCAAAAAGTAAAATGCAGTGTTGCGATCCACCAGCACTCTTCCAATTGTTCCTTGGCTTAGGTTTCTTTGCATTTCGTCCAGGTTTTTAAACTCTGTTGGTTCAAGTGTATTTGATTAATTTGTCAACGAAAATTCTTACATGAACGTTTTTTCTTATTTCTTTCACTCCGATGAGTGACAAGAGCGGAGGAATTTTTTCCTCAGAGTTTTGATACTTTCAGTCGGAGAGGTAAATGGAGGAAAGGAAATACTAGTTAGGGCATAATTAAACGCAACATTTAACAGTTAATATCATATAAAATGTTTGGTGGACAGCGATGAAAAATGGGAATTAGATCTGGGGAGTAAAATAGCTACCACCGAATTCACTAGGCGACTAACGCTTCGTGTGGATTTCTTCCAAAGGCAAAAGTTGCTGCGATTCATTTTACATCAGCTATCATTGCATCGCCTAAAACCAGCTTTGACTGGCGAGAAAAAAAGTTATATCGCAGCGCAAAGATTCTCTAAACGTTTAGAATTATCTAGGGAAGAAGACT